ACTAGGTCAGCCCTGTGGAAACATCCAGAAAATCAGAAAATTGAAAGTTAATGTTAAGGACAGCATCAGGGAAAAATGAGAACACTGTACACAAAAAGACTAAATGTTACTTACATTTATTATTGACATTCGGTTTGAATTTTGCTTAAACTAATGAAAAGGAAAGTGATTATTTAAAGATAGAATTTTAGTGGTGCACGATTTACAAATAAATTCCCTTTGTTCTGAAAAACAAACAGATTTGAAAAAGGTCAGATACTGTACCTTTTGCAAAGAATCTCAAAGTATCAACATTTTCAGTTGCTTCCATCTTCTAAAAGTCACTTCAGCCACCTCACTGCTCAGCAGTCTCTAGAGTTGAAGGCAAGAAGACAAGTACATCTGCTGCATACCAGAGAACTGAAAAAAAGTAATTTTTGGCAGAATCGAAATTGAAATCTAATTCAGGACCAGAAGAAAAAAGAAATTCGGCTTCACGACCAATCTGTAATTAAAACCAGTTTTTGCAAAACGGAGCCAAAAGTATGCTGTAACTCTCTCTGCTTGAATTGAGTCTCACCATCTGAACCCTGTGGTAGCTGTTACAGATATCTGACACTTTCCTCAATTGTTGGCTCTAAGAAGAAATGAAAAAAAAACTGCTTGATGGTTGGGGTGTTATGCTTTCCTTGTTTTAGTCTTTTACTTTACTCTCTGAAAGCACTTCAGTTATAATCTTTCTCAGAAGAGTGTTGTGCTGGGAATGCAGATTTAACAGCTCATTGTCATGTCCACTTCCAATCAATCTTGTTGTGGGTTTTCTGGATTAAATCAAGCGATAAGTTTTTTTTAATGTAGAAAGCTTTCATGCTTCCTTGATGCAAAATAAATTATTTGGAAAGAGTTCTAATTTCTCTGTCTCCTAAGGAAATTTACTTTTAACAACTTTTAACTTTTATCTCATCTTGCATTACCTTACTGTAAAAAAAGTATAGGCCATAGTTCTCTCTCTGGTGCTTCACAATGTATTTTTGCAAACTGAGGAAGGTGTTTCTATACTTACAGTAATTTATGGATCCTGAGGTATCTCAGAAGTCTAATTCAAGAGCCATAGACATGCCTTTGAAGCTGCAAATATTTCCGTAAGAGTGAATTGTCTTCTGACCAGTGTTCCTTTTCCTTTCAATCTTTTACTCTTTCCAGCTTTGACAGCATTCAACAAGCTTCATGATCCCAAATACGTTGTCTGTGGAAGCCCTATACAGGTCCTGATTTTGTTTCTGACAGGTTTTGTCAGATCTGTTGAACATTGGTGATCATGTTGGCTCTCTCTTGAGATGGTTTGACGTCTCAGTGAAATTGTGGCAGCACCTTTTCAGCAAGAGGAAGGGGATGACTCTGAAAGACAGGGGAGACGATTTTCCCTGCGATGGAGAGTGAGGCAATACCCTGGTAATTAGTGCATTCCAGCTTGTCTCTTTCCTTGAAGATGGTAATTATGCTGGTGTTCCTGGGGTCCTCTAGAACTGCTGTTATATCAAAGAAGCTCTAGAAGCTTCTGTACCACTGCTTTATCCTTGACCTTAATGACTTCAGACGGAATATTATACTGTGGTTGCAGTTGCTTTAAGGCTACAACATATGTTGCTTTTTTGATGATGAGAGGAGGTCAGCAAGTCACAATCCCTCAATATCATTGTTGAATTCCTTTTGTTCTGATTTTGGTTGTCTACAATGCAATGAAGGGCACTAGTCTATCACTACAGGTCTTGAAGTTTTGAATGCCCCAGATATATTATTTCCCATCATAGAACCCAGTGCATTACTTCTTTCAGTGAGGAGAATCTGCTACAACACCTGCAAGAACCACAGGATCTTGACAAAGAGAGGTCTGAAGCACAGTGACAAGCAAAATCTGAAGTGACAGAAGATCCACAATTTTTCTGCAGCCCTTCAGCCAACTTCACAGTTATTAAGATTCTTCTTCTTCTGCCTTCTCCCCTGTAGAGGTTTGTAAGTTTAGAACTTCACCTTATACTTATTTGCCTTGTTTGGCCCTGCCAAGAACAGCAGTTCCAGACCCTAGGTGACATAGCCCTGGAGCACATGTGATAAGCAGGCCTCTCGTGCAATCCACCACAATAAGGTCTTAGTTGAGAGGGAAGCATTCTTCTGACATTGAAAGCTCACAAAAGACAGCAATTAGAAAATAATTAGAAAACATGGATTAAAAAATCAAGTTTTTTGCTCCCTTTAGGTCTGTGTACGTCTAAAGTATTCTTAAAGATATTAATCACCAGAATCACCATAATTTACGGTATATGGGACACAAAGCAGATAAGGCCTTTGATAAACAAATTGATCAATTCTTTGCCAGCCTTAATGTGTAAATACCAAAAGTTGTGTTTCTTGATACCATGTAACATATAGGATTAATGACAATGAAAGAACTAGGTTTTAGATTTAAGCCCCTACACATCAGCATGTTGTACAGTATGTAGTGGAACTACCTGAATCACAACCCATTGTCCCACAGGTCAGTAAAGTGTTTAGTAAGAAAGAATTCAGTACAATGTCCATTTGTATTCATAATCTTGTTACGGTGCCCAAATTAAGAGCAGTTTTTATTTCAAAATAATAGAAGGATATAGGAAAAAAGATGTACAAAATAAGTGCTGTATTTTGTAAAAACACCTCTTCCACTCTGGGGTATAAATGATGCAAGTATTTAAATAAATTAAATGGTTTGTAACACTTAGATCATTTTGCCATTTGCCATGCTATTGAATTATTATTTCACAGCTCCAATAGCCTAATGACTTTCTTATTGGTGGTGATAGATTGGCTATGACTGAATAAGACAAAAGCTATGATTTCATTTCACTGCACTGGAAGCTGCTAAAACATCATGTTGAAATGTACCTGTAGGGTTTATATTGTAGTGATCTGATTTTTAAAAAAAAGACTTTAGAAAGACAAAGCACATCAACAAATGTATTCATCTCAAGTCTAATTGTGGTCCAGTACTCAAGTGCTGAATCTGATTGCACAGGCTACTTTGTAGTCAAAACTGCCTGAAATAGAGTCAGTATTCTAAAAACAATAGACTTTTGGCATGAAGAGCTGACAGAAAAATGCATTTAACAAAAAAAACTATCAGGAATTGGAAGATGACATGTTTAGGCACATGCACTGAGGGGCATCATGCCTGAGTTTGTTTCTGTTTTGAATCAGCATGAGTTCCATAGTGCTTAACATAATGGAGCTCATATTATTTCAGTGAAACAATTACTGTCCAGAAGAATACACGTGATAATGTGTGAAAGAGAAAACAACAAAGAATGGCAGAAAAAGTTGCTTTTGTATGAACATTACATTTAGAGTAATGTACATAAATGAACTCTTATTTGAATAAACTATGCCCATGCAGCAAGTGACATGGTGGTTAGTGTTTCTGCCTCAGCTTCTGTCCTGGGTTCAGGCCTGACCTGGAGTGGTTTTTGTATGGAGTTCTCTTTATGGCCACGTAGGATTTCTCCTTGTGCTCTGGTTTACTCCCAGTGGCATTCTGACCAGGCTGACTGGCGTCTCTGTTTTGTCCTGCATACATTCTCCTTGAGTTTTGATCAACTTTAAAAAAATGAAAGAGTTAAAGAATTTTCTTTAATACTTTAAGAATGATTTTTTATAAAGAAAGCCTCATTTCTCAAAACCATGTTTTAGACACATGGCTATCATTCCAGGAACAGAAAACTGGTAGACAGGAAATTCCCGGGCTGCTGAATGTGATGTGGATATTAATGAAGACATTCGAAACACTGGCAAAAAGTGACACAATACTGTACATAAGGCAGGGAAAAAAATTACTAATTTCCCTAAAATTCTCCAACAAAGATTGCTAGTAAAATCACAATTAATGTAGATTAGAATGAAGGTGAATGTTATAGTATAAAGCAAATAATATAATATGATTGTATAATCACTGGAAGCTGAGAAAAATCTAATTGTAGGACAACGTTAGGCATTCAGGTTCAATTTTATTATTTTCAATTTGTGTAGAAAGAGTTTAAAATCTCAGAAGGTGCTTGTGACTTTCCAGGAAAAAATAGGGACTTTCAGCCTACAAGTTTATAGCTTGGATGAAGCCTACTTTCCCAACAGTCTATGTTCTCCTCCTAGACAAGCTACAGTGTAGGTTCCGTTCCAGGATTAAATAGATGCTGAAAATGAGAAATAATAGTATATTAGGGATTTACTGCAGAAATAGAACTTAATTCACTGGATGGGGTTTTGCTTTTACTGTATATGATCAAATACAATACTGTTTCCTTTTATTGGAAGATTGGAGTAAATATTTTAACTTTTTAACATACAGCTATTTAAGCAATCTTTAGATTTAGAAATTAAATGGAAGAAACTGAGCAGGAAGACCTGTAATTCATTTTCTATTCTTTGAAATGATGCACGTACGTAAACATGATGATGGGTCTCCAAGTTAAATGGCAGGAGAATTCCAACTCGTCAAGCTAATTTGCTTGCTAATGTCAGACTCCGGTTAGTACTAAGTCAAAAAATCAAACGATGAAATGAAAGAGATTATTGATTGTTTATTGTGCAAAATCTACTTCTTTAACACGATGCAAAATTATATCAGGCATTTTTGTCCCGCATTCACGAATCTGTGAACTAGGCCTACATTTCCCAGTGAAAGTTTCTCTCTGGAATTAACAAAGACCTAATCGCAGTCTTGTGTCAATGCTGTCGTCAGCGGATTGGATATTTTGTCTTCATGCTTATGGCTTACCAGAACTGTGGAGCACACAGAATGCCCTTTAATTTGCGTACGAAAGACCTAGCCAATCACAGCAAAACGTCCATGCCAGTTAATGACTCTTTAACCAATTCTAGAGGCCTCTGGATTTACATAGTGCAATCGGAACCAATCGGTCTACACAGCATGGAGCAGTGCTTTGCGGACCTAGCCAATAGGCTGGAGGGAGGCAGAGTTTAAGGTCTGCATATTATTAGCATGTTATTATTGGAGGTGTTTAGATATTGATTCCGTATTCCGTGTTGGTTCCAAAGTCGCGTCTTGCAGATCCTCTTTCATCTTGTACTGTATTAAAAAAAAACACTGAAAACATGCCGAAAAGAAAGGTAAGCGCTGGCCATTTTGGTTTACTTTCAATGCCACTTCGGGTTAGGTTGAGGGGAAAAAATAGCGGTACTATTTTGCAGTAATATTCGTAATGTCTAACAGGTGAATGGATAATAACTTTTTAAAAAATGCGCATATGCTTGCTTGAAGCTCATCGAAAGATTGGTTAAATTCATCGGGGGGTTTAGCGGCTTGACGTGTCGTGGATTTAGCATGCTGTTTGTCGTGGGCACTTCTTTCCGTCCATGACCTGGTGGTAAAAGGCATGTTTTATTACCGCTGCCTTTTTGGATATTGAGATTTTCTCTGCCCCGACGAGCACGCTTTGCGCGGGGTGAATGTCATTTGGCAGCCCTGGCGATCGCTACACGCTGGCTGCTGGTCATTGACTACATAAAGGCACATTACGTCAGCGTGAAACCGACGCCGACGCGGATCCGCTCGTTTTTAATTTGATCGCTCCAATTGCGCCTTTTCGTCGATCGATGGAGGACCTCACTCTTTTAAAAAAAAAAAAGCCATATTTAAAACGACACCCTCTTCCTCCTCCTTCGCTCATGTTTCAGACCCGTATGTGACCAACTAGCGTGTCAATCAGTGTGGAAAGCCCGGGGCTGGAGCGTAGAGGAGGAGGAGGAGGGGGTTGGGTAACAAGTCAATCATACTGCTCGGCACTACAGCGACAGACACGATTATCTTCCCAGCTCACTTTCTGGGTTAACCAAGCGCTTGACCCTTTGTGGGGTTGACTGTAAATTCAGATGACGCGCCTGCCAGCTAGATTACAAAAAAAAGATAAGGTTTAATCACTAGAAAATGCTTTTTTCTTTTTAATTAGTTAAGCACAATCCTGTTGTATCCGATATATTTCACTTTCCACATTGCTGTGCAGAAGGAAATGACGAGAAGGCAGCGGTGATAAATAAAGGAACGGCATGAAAAACAAAAATATTTAGCTCCCCCTACTACAGCTCAACTGACAAACAACCATTTGCATGACATTGTAGCCAGATTGCACACGGATTACACTCGGAATTGTATACTGTAGCACTATTCCGCCATATAAACAGAAGCGTAGCACGGATGCTTGCTTTTTGGCTCAGGCGTGTTAGTATTAGTGAGACACATTTTTAAATAAAACGTTACTACCTTGTTTTCGGCGAATCATTTTATACACCGCTCTGCTGAGGAACACTACGTTACCTTGTGTACTCTTTAGTTAATGATACCTTTTCGGATTTTGTGGGGTTTTATATTTATGTACATGTAGATAAATGTACGTTCCACGCATCTAGCATCTCGAAGAACTAAGGTGATTTGTGTTGATTTCCTTTTAGATTATAATAAAATTCAGGCATTTGACCAGATTAAATTGAATAATCTGTCAACAGCCAATATATATTAGAACATACAGCCTGTGATGTATTTATATGAGAAGTTAACCCATGCAGTGTAGTTTTATTATGTGCATTTTTATTTAAATATGTTAAAATAGGCAATATATTTAAATGTAATGAGTAAAATGCAGAAACAAGTGGCAATAACTTGTAATACAAAGTTATTTTCTCCTTTAATTTTTCCAATATTGTTCTTGTTGCTCATGTTAAACTTTCTAGGGCTAAAACGTTTTTTTCTACTGTGGTGACTTAAACTGAACATAGGTATTCTGAATTTTGTAGTTATACAATGTTAAATTTCTGCATCTTCCCTTGAGTTAAAATCCACACGTTTTGCTATGTACCCAAGCACTCTGTTTGCTGTTTTGTATTGCTTGATGATGACCTACAGTACAAGAATCTGTAACAGACACCCAGATCCTTTTAGATGTAGTCAAGAAAGCTACACGTGAAGTCTCCTGTTGGAGAAGATTGAGTGAGAGGTTTGCACTAAGGTTTTGATTTTCAAAGCTTACCAGTTTACAGAAAATAATTGTGTAAGTAATGATGAAATACACGTGCCTGTGTTTATTACAATAAATAAATGAACACAATAATACAAGTAATTTTAAGTTTGCACAAATGTTTGCACATGTTCATTTTTCAGCGCAGTGTGTGGTCAGAAATTACAGGTTGAAAGTCTGGGATGAGATTCTCTTTTGTTGTGTGAGGGATAGTGCTAGATTTACAAGATAGAGAGGAAAGAGAAAGAAACAAACGTTTATACCTCCACTCACTGTGTTACTATGACTTCTAGTTAACAATGAGTAATGCTGTGTATTGCCTCTGTTGCAAAGACTGAAGTAAAATTATTCTTTCCGAGTTTAAAAGTGTTGTACTTCTGAAGGTGGGATATATATATATACAAGTCCATTCACAATTTTTAAGAAATACATACAGTACCATGGTTAATAGCACTTGGAGGCATCTGTATCTTAAGAACATTACAATTTGGAAATAAAAATGCTAACAGTGGCAAAATGAAATATGAATATATATTTTGTAAACCCAGATAGAATCAGATCTGCAACTCTCAGACTACCCACCCAGCACTTGATGAACTTGAAAACCTTGTTATTAATTACTTTTAACATTTTTATTTGGAGAATGGCTCAAAGTTTTCATTCAGGCCCTAGTCTCATTTAGTTTACCTGTAAGATCCATTTTCCCAGATACGTACTGTGGCAGCAGTATAAGCTCTGCAGCAAATTGTGTGCTTAACTTCACGCACATGAGTTTTCTTCTAGAAGTGACGAGGAAGGAGAGGATGGTCATCTCAGCGTAAACTGAAAGCAAGTTGGTGGCAACAAATTCTGATTCGCATGTTTCTGCTCTGTGTGCTGCCTGCAGTGTTTAAAGATTGGGAATTGTATTTTTAAAAACTTAATGAGGTGGAATTATGATATTGATATCCAGAGGTCTGTGCATTTTATGGGCATTTTACAACTTTTGCAGCCCTGTGAATGTTACAAAGAAGGGAAGATGCTCTGTGTTAGAAAAATTGATAGTAAACTTTGCAAGCTCAGACTTGGGCTGTTAATTTTATTGACCATCCTGTATTTTTTATTTTCGCGCCGCCGTATCAAGGTTTTTCAGGTTTTCGTGGTTTAACTTTGCCTCAGTTGCGTCTCTGTTGTTGATCACCCAAACACAGTGCCCATTCTGCCAGGATGCAGCATTTAAAGCCCTTGGCTTCCTTCCTGTGCTTGATTTGAAAGGTGATCACGAATCGGTGCAGGTGTTTGATGCTAACTGCTGTGGAAAAGGCTCAGCAACTCATATTTCCAATGTTTTGGATATCGTGAGGGTAGTCTTTTTTATCTTATGTGTGTTAGTAACAGGCATGATTGTGGAAAAATTCTTAAGCCCTTGTTTGCTAGTTTTTCTCCGCATACTCTAAACAAGCCGCAAACAAGGGCTTAAGAACTTGTATGCCTCTTTGTAGGGCATCTTCACCTTATCTAATGTTGGCGTGTGTTTGTTGGCTTTCTGTTGGATTCATTTTCAGGAATTGGAAGTAGCATGTCGTCAGCCTTCATTAGAAATCTTAAAGTTAAAACTCTTTTCCTAAGTGATCTGTCTGTATTTATACAGTGTATATATAGTACATACATGCCAACCCAGGTATGTGTCAGGGGCTATAAACCTCTTTTGTATTACAAAAGGTAAGTTTTAAAAGCTCGTGATCTTTCTTAAAGGCAGTGTCACAGTGCAACGGGAGAACAATTACTTTACTTTCCATTAAAATAGTTTTCTTCCTCGTTACCATTATATATCCTGCCCCACAACTTTTTTCTCATCCTTTATTAGTCCTCTCCCTTTATTTGCCACCTTTAAACAATCACAGCAATTGTTTATCCTGAAAATCAAGATCTTTCCGCCCTTCTTCTGCACTTTTGTTTAAAGTTTTTTTTACAAATAATACACACCCAGCCAGTAACCTTCACTGAGTAACACACAGCAGATGCATCACCAGATGTTCCTAACAGTTTGCGGTGAGGAGTATTTGGAAATTTAGTTAACAATAAGGATAGCAGAGAGCCACTCCATAAGCTCAATATTTCCACATCCATAATAAGGAGTAGGTCGCTGTATTACTTTTTTGTTTTGTTTTTGGTAATGCATTCTTTATCTTTTGCTCATCAGAACTGGAGTTGATGCAAAATATATGTTTTCAATGGATTGTTCTTAATTGTATTTTCAGAATGTTATTAAAGTCGCTTTCTAGATCACAATTGTTTTGTGTTGCAGAAGATGGGCAAAACAGCCAGAGTTTCAGTATTGATTTAGGTAATGCATTGTATGTGGAAGTAAGAATAATAACTACCCCACTAAGCCTTATTTATTGCCTCTTAATAATTTAGAAGTGGGTTATTCACAAGTAAGTGGATACAAATTCCCTAATAGGTGATGTAAAACATTATGTGTCACATATTGAATTTGCTGCTGAGCAGAACTAACGGTTTGTAAAAGCTAGTGAGTAAGTCCGCCTGTGTTTAGTTCCCCAGGTGCCATTGGACTGGTGGTACAGTATATCTGTTCTATACACAGTGCTGCATTTTCAATGCTCAAAGTGAAGTTAACAGTGTGAGAAACTATTATTGCACATTTCAGTAACCACACCAGCTTGGTATTTTTTTCTGCCTTTACACTTATACATCAATTACATCTATGGTAAAAGCTATCATTGAATACTTTAAAACTTTAATTAATGCTATAAACTTGTGCATATATAATATGCAAAAGCATATTTAGTTTAGGTTGTAAATTATTCCAACATGGATAGAAGATGTTTATCCAAGCAATGATATTAATCTTTCATTTCTTTCTTATTACAGTAGGAGGTGGAAAATGTTCCAATTTCCAATTTGCCACAGAACTTAACAAAGCTGCAACACTTAACAAAGATGCAGTTTTATTTTGTTATCAAGAGGTGTGCAGAATGTAGCTCTGTTTGATACTGAGGAAGCTGTCTATAAATCAGAATGTAGAAAACACTTTTTGGTGTTACTGTAATAATGTAGCAGTAGGTGCAGTAGTCTGTTGAAAACCCATTTTTTTTATCCTTACCTGATTTTTTACTTCTAAAACTGCTCTATTTTTAAAAATCCCTTGGTTTATGAACCATGATTTGTGATTTATTTTTTACGTACTGTAAGTTCAGATCTATTACTCAGTTCAGTCCAACTATTAAGAAACCTTCAACAGGGCCCTGAGATGTTTTTACAGTAACAAGATTTTTTACGGTGTATAGCCTACCTGTCTTTATTCTTCTTGTCCTTTTTTTTCAATCTTTGCAGCTAGGCAAAAAATCGGTTTTAAAGGGCAATAGTGTCACTATTGTAAGGTTAGCTTTAATGGCACCCTAATTAAAATTGAACTGATTTATTTCCATGATACTCCTAATAAATTCTAAAATCATCCAATCAAGTTGACAGTTGAGACAAAATGCAAGAGAAACACAAGTCTTTTGGATTTTCTTTTCTGCTTTGTGGTAGAACTGACAGTATGAATAGAATGGAAACATTCCTTTTGTAATGTTTTCAACGGAAAATCCTGCGATTTAAGAGATGCGGTTCTTAAAACTGTAGACAATGTTTTATTATTGGTAACATAATTCAGCATAATTTGTTCATTGTTTGATAAGGGATTTAAATAAAAGATAAATCATGTAATGTAGCAGGCACTGTTTTAATTTATGCAAATAAACTCCTTTTTTCCATCGGCATACATTTTGGTTGGTGTTTTTGAAATAGTGTCTTTTGTTCCAGCAAGAAGCCTATTGCCGCTTACCTGATATAGAGCAGAAACATTGATTGGTTTGGGGGATATAAAGAAAGTTCATTGTCCTGGGCAATAGTTAATAAAAGCCTCCAAAAAATGATATACATTTGCTTTCCGCACTTAAAAAGCAGAATGAGCTTTGTAATTATGTACCCTGTGGTAATCGGTGAATTTCAGGACTGGCTACATTCAGGTGTGCTGTCTGAAAGCTAACCAAACGAACTGAAGCAAGAGGAAAAACACAGACTCACTGTAGGAGTGTTTATACAGTGCCACTCCAACTTTTGTCCATTCGTCATCAATTGAGCCGAAATATGGGAGCAAATTCTTAATAAGCACATTAAGGAGAGACTGAATGAATATCGTATATGCTGAAGCTGCTGGAAATAATGTGTATTAGATGAAGGATTTTTCAAACCAAGGACTGGGGACAGAAAAAAGTCTGAACCAGCAAGCAGATCAGTTATAGCCACCAGTTAGAACTGGTGATTAAGCACCAGTTGGAACTAAAACCTAGCAGACGTAGGGGTACTTCAGAGCTGACCTCAAAAGTGCTGACCTAAATGCAATTTCTGACATTTTACAGCTTGGTAATCAAATCTTGGTATTGGTAACAGGATTGTGTTCCTGCTAGTAACTTCGGAGCTTATTGAAGGATGTTTATGCATGGCATAGACTGTGCATTACACTTAGGTTTGCTTCTTAGAATAATGATTTTGCTGTGCAAAGTGCCACCACATTAAAATGCCTCTGCTATTCTTTCCAGTCTCCAGAGGGTGCTGAAGGCAAGGATTCGACGAAAGTCACCAAGCAGGAGGTGAGTGTTGAGGTGCATTCTGAAATCTGACTAAGGGCACATGTGGAGTGTAAGATGCAATGCATCTTATATGTCCTGCTGCATGGTGAGTTATAGATATTTCTAAATGCATGGGGGTGTCCATCTCCTGAAGAATGAAGCACTGTCACAGAGAGATTATTTCTGTGAAGTGGAGGCTTTCTAAAAACAAATGTCCACCTCTTCTGACACGGGTGCTTAAAAATGCTACTTGATAATTAATGCTCTTACAGACTAAAGTGTGTGCATTTTCATACTTTTGCAATTCAGCAATTGGTTTTTAATCAAACACGCCCTGGATTAAAGTCAGCTAAATGAATTTTAAAACTTTATCTTGGCAGAGCAAATTCTTGATCTTGTCCACACTTGCCTTTGGATGACTTGCTACCTGCAAATGTTTTGACACCTTGTCAGAAGTTACCATCTTTATGCCCATTAGGAATAGTGTCTGTGGAGATGTGCAAAGGACAATCACCTGATGTAACGAATGCATCAGTTTCTCGTGTGTGTGTGTGTGTGTATATATATAACTGAAATTATTTAAATATGAGCACGACATGAAGATGTAATTAGAATTTGCCACGAACACTTTTCCAAGGAGACCTGCACAATCAAGTAAAGCTTTTCTACTAGAGTACATAGTGGCCTAGAGGTCACTCCCCCTTAACAGGTGAATAAAAACCAACTAGTCTGTACTGCCGAAGGCTGAAAATAATGTAGTAGTTGGAAGCTTGTTACCATTGAAGTGAAATGCACTGAAGCTTTATAAATGTGCTGGACTGGAAAATTTGTGCCCTTTTTTGTGGCGTTTTATCTTTTTTCTTAAGCAATCGTTTCCCAAGGCACGTTACAATAGCTGTATCTGTTCTAAAACCTGACGGGCTCTTTTCCCAGCCACTGTAGATCAGCACGCCCTGGGAGTTCCTCCTCTATATCTCTCTCGCTGCTGCCACCTCTTGATCCCAGTGCTTGGTGTCTTTTTTGGTGCCCCACGTTTGGACGCCGTGAAGCGGTCGGTTTCTGCCCTCGGCAGTTTATTCATGAAAGTCTGGGGACCAGGAACCAGACGGGCAGCAAAATAAAATACTAAAAAGGTGGCGTGCGAGACTGGCAGGGGGAAAAAAAGGCAAAAGGAGGGAAATCAGACATGTTGAAGACAGAAGGAAAGCATCTGAACTCCCTGCCTGTGTTTCTGCCTGAGAAGATTGTCATTCAACTTCCATCCAAGCTTTTACATTTTTTTTTGCCTACAGTTAGTCCCAAAAAGGCTTAATGCTTAAAGACTGATGGATTCTTTTCCTCTGCAGTGGTGTCTGAGCAACTACTAAGTCGTTGACGGTGTTTTATTATAATGTGTAGCCCTTGGAAAAAGTCCTGAAGCAACATTAACACTTCTGCTTGCAACAAGGCTGTTCTCTGCCGGATCATTACCTGTCCCAGAGAGTTTATGATGAGGAACTGGACATGAGTTTTGGATAAGTTACATTTTGTCTCTCGGTCTCTTCTGTTGTGAGCAGTGTCGGTGTTCTGGTCCACTCTCGGAGTCCTGCACAGACTACAGGGTGAAATGTGAAGCTGGGTCGCTGTCAGTCGACAGGAGTAACTTTTAACTGCTATGCACCTATGTGTTATTCCGTTCCCAGGAGCCATAGTGTTTACTGTAGAGTTTAAACAGTATGGTGTTATCATTGTGAGTACTTGTATAGGATTTTATGCAGTGTAGAACTTTGATGACAACCAATAATACTTCTATGTACAGTGTATGTATATATACACTATAGTAGCAATATAATTAATAGGTAACATTTAATTTTGTACACAACTGCTAACAGTTTGTGAAGTAGTAATTTTCGTTATGTACCCACTTGTTCCTCTGTTTCCATGGTGGTTTTTCAGTATGCACAAGAGGACAAAATTTAGGAGGCAAACCCGTAAATATGAATACAATATTAAAAGCAAGTAATCATGTTCATTCATTATTTTATTAGCAGTTTGTTTCTTAAAACCTAAATACAAAAAAGCACACCCATCAGAAAACATTGAAAGCAGATTTAATTTAAACAAACATTTTTTTTGTTGTTTTTTGATTACTGCCTTATGGGCTTAGGCATTTTCTCAAAATGCTTGCCTAAATATTCAGCAGTTAAGAATTTAATTTAGAGAAGTTTAGAGAAGTTTAGAGAAGTTGTGGTGAACTTTTTCCATTAGTTTTCTTGATCTTTTTTTGTCATGCTTGTCTTATACTAGATCACTGGTTGGTAGATACGATGACTGTGGACAGACCATATGACACAGGATATCATGCTGTTTACTTATTACCTGCCTAATTGTGATGAGTATTTAGGATAGATTTATTTTTTCTTTTTTTTGTTATTGTAAAACAAATCCCATGCTAATAAGGAAGTTGTAGACCAGGTAAAAAAATGTTATGAAAGATTTCTGTGGTAACACTGTTTGTCAGATTTTATTTCATTTTTTCAAACGTCTTCCAAGAGCAGTCCCTCCAAATCTGGGATAAAATTTTTCTGTGAAACATTCACCATTTCTCAAGTTTTTTTTGCTCTTCTTTCAACATTCTGTTTTATTTGAGTGTCATTTTGTCCATTCAAACCATTTTTTTTGCATTATCTTTACAGTACTGTTTTTTTTTCATATCCACATCTCCAGATCTGTTTGTTTACCTGCACAATCTTTGTTGTTTTAAAGGAACACTAAATTCTCTTGTGTTCTGTTCACCCGTGCAGTAATGATTGGCTTCCTTTACATTTCTTAAGCAGGGGTTGCATACTTGCCTAATGACTTTGATCATCTTCTGGCTGACCAATGCTTGTCAGTATTTCTCAAGGACTTTCTGATTCTTAGGGAGGCCATCTCCCAGCATTAATATAGTAATAGGATTACTATTATTAATAACTAGTAGATACCCTCTCTGATCGATCTGTTACCAGGAAAATAATCATCTTTTTTTGTAGTTGGTGTACTGCTATTGTATTGAAGAGAAGTATATTTTGTTAGAGAAAATGGATGGCGTAGGATTCCTCTGCCAGCCACAAGATACGAACTGGCAACCGTCCAGCCACAGGCGCAGATCCTTAGCCACAGGAGTGTTCTGGGTCTACTCCTAAATAAAAATAACGCATTTATTCATGTCAGCTATTTATGTAGTATTACAAAAGATCCTTTTTTTAAAATAAATGTTGTTAGTATTGATCAGTTTCATGTAAAACATGAAGGGAAATGGTTGTTAGTGATGGCTGCTAAATGGTGTGGAAAATACACGAGCCTTAATTCTGCAACCATCTTCTGTCTTTTTATTGCCAGACTTTTATCTTTTATATTTTGTCATTTATTATAAAGTCATTCTTATTTATGGCTTTAGCAGATCATTGTGTACCTTTGTTTACAGCAAATTATTAATTGCTGACCATTTATAATCTTTTATTTATAGAATGTTGAGCACACAAGCCAGCATCTCAAAATTATTGGGTGTGCTCATTTTAAAATGTACATTTTAAAAATAATTATCACAAAGAATTTCTCTCCATACACCTTTACAAGAAAAATAAGCATTTCTTACTATTAATGAAGACTTCATTAACAGCACACATGTGTTAAGGAAAACCTGTTCCTTCACTTTCTAGTGCTGCTAATGAAGTTATTTTTGGAGTCTCCAGTGTCCAGTGAAAAAATAACATAATTTTGGCTAAAATAAGGATTTTATTTTTAAATTATTTGCATTGTATTTGGTTTTTAAGGATTTTTTCCCCACAGAAGCTTACTGTGTTTTAGAGTTTCATTAATTTTTATTTGAGATGTATTGACACTGGCAGTATGGTGGCACAGTGAGGGGTTAGCATTGCTGCCTTGCAGAGCTGGGGCCATTGGTTCAATTCCTGGGGTGGTATCTGTGTGTTCTCCCCGTGTTTGTTTTCTTCTGGGTGCTCCAGTTTCCTCCCACAGTCCAGAGACATGCTGGTAGGTTAATTGGCTTCTGGGAACTCTGGCCCTGGTGTGATTGTGTGTCTGTCCTGTGATGGACTGGCATCGTGTCCAGGGTGCACCTGTTGCTTGCTGGGATAGGCTCCGGCACCACTGCAACTGAATTGGATAAAATGGCAAAAAAATGGATGGAAGTCTAAACACAAGGTACAGACAAGAACAATAAAAAACATTTCCTACATTTCTTTAGTGTGAGATGATAATGACTGGAAGTACACAGAGACAAAGACTGTCCAGTTGCCTTTGTCACCAAAGCACTTATCCCAGTCGGAAACTGGGTAGGCACAGTGTATGTTGTCTCAAGCACTCTGTTGAATTGCCTGTTGTTGGTTATGTTAAAGTCTGGTGTGTTAAAGGATA